CTGAACAACAGCTCAACCAGGAGCTGGGCTGCCATGAGTCACCGGCAATGGCGTAGGCTGCAGCCCCTGTGGCAGTGGGTTGCCATGGGCTACCATGTGTAGCCAGCAGCCGCAGTGAGCAGCCAGCAGCCACAGTGAGTGGCTGTCCAGAAGCCGGCGACTGATCTGCCTCGCCCGGGAAGAGCGCAATGATGGTGCCAACTTGGACCAGTGAAGCAAAGTCCTCCACAACTAGACTGAAGAACAAAATGACAGCAACTTGCCTGTTCCCCTTCCCCCAATTCCCCAGCACTGTTCCCATCCCTCCAATTCCCCAATAAAAATCTTAAAAAAAAAAGAAGAGCATGACTTATAACAAACGCATAATAATCCCATTCCTGAGATTCCTCTAAAACTTAAAAACTTCACTAACTGATAAAAATCCAACAAAAATATGTTAGACACTATGAAGAATATTATGAAACTTTGAGAAACATTAAAGTTAGAATCTCAACCATTATTTTTATTTACATTAAAACTCAGCAGTAAAAAAAAACTCAGCAGTTACTTTTGCTAAAATTAAAATCCCAACAGTATTTTTTTTAGAAAATACAATTTCAGCATCTATTTTTAGATATTGATAAGAACAGTTAGAAACTCTTGAAAACAGGAATGAGGTAGAAAAGACTTTCTCTATTAGATATTAAGACTTCTTACAAAGCTACAGTAATTAAGGCAACATCATATTGGCACAAGATTAGACAAATAGACTGATGGAATAGAACAGAGAGTCCATAAATAGTCCCAACAATATATGAACACTTGGTATTTGACAGTGTTGGAATTGTGAATGAGTAGGGGAAGGAGAGAGTTTTCAACATATGATATAGGGCAATTGGGTGTTTATAAGGGAAAAAAATGAAATTGGACTCCTATTCTCACACTCTACACAAAAATTAGTTCCAAAAATATTAAAGACCTAAGCGTAAAAGGCAAAACTATAGAAATTTTAAATATTAATATAGGGTGATATCTTCATGATGTTGAGGTAGGGAAGGATTTCTTTGAAAAGACACAAAAAGCATTATGCATAAAGAATAAAGATTGAAGTGGTTGGGGATGAAGGAGAAGGGGAGGGGATTAGAAATCACAAATTGGCAACTATATTATTGCCATGGGGATATGAAAGACAGTTTGGGGATATAATCAGTAATGTTGTAAAGATTTTGTAGAGGGTCAGATGGGCACATGTCTTATTAGGGAGACCAATTCATGGATGGTGTAGATGCCTGACCACTGTGCTATACACCTGAAGCTGAAGCTGAATGATATTGTATGTCATGTATAATTATATATATATATATATATATATATATATATATAGTCACAGCATATGGAGTACAGCATAGGGAATAGAGTCAATGGAATTGTCATAGATATATATGGTGTCAGAGGGACAATAGATTGGGGGAGGAGGTTATTTGTGAGGGGTGAAATGTCTATTATATTGTTTTGTATACCAGAAACTAATAATAAAAAAGTATAAAGGTTGATACCTTTGACTATATTATAATTAAGAACTTCTGTTTATTGAAAAAAAACCATGAAAATGATAAAAAAATAAGAGACAAAGTGGGGAAAGATATATGCAACACATGTAAAGGACAAAGGACTACAGCTAGAATATATAAATAACTCCAAATTAATTTGAAAAAGGCACACTACCCAATAGAAAAAAAATTGTCAAATGTCTTGAATAAATGCTTCACAAAATAAGAAATCTTAATGTCCAATAATCATATGAAAAGATGCTCAACACCATTAGTAATCAGGAAAATAAAATTATGAGAGGCTATTTTATACCCATTAGATGACCAATAATTTAAAAATCTGATCATACCACATATTGGCCAGCAGGTGACACAATGGAAACCGTTAAATACTGCTAGTAAGAGTGTAAATTGGTACACCATTAGAAAAAGTTAGGCATCGTCTAATAATGCTGAACGTGCCCATACCCTATAAACCAGCAATCCAACTCTTGGGTAAATATCCTAGAGGCCTACATGTATGTACACTACCAAGAATATTTATGGTAGCACTTTTTTAAGTAAAAAACTAGAAACAACCAGAATGTCCCTCAAAGTTATCATGAATAGATAAATTGTCGTATTTTATTATACTACTCATACAATGGTATATACAAAAATAAAAGTAAAATAACAAAAATCAATGAGATACCATTACATACCTATGAGAATGCCCAAAATTTGGAACACTGACAACAGTAAATGCTGACAAGGATGTGGAGCAGCAGGAACCCTCATTCATTGTCGGTGGGAATGAAAAGTGGTACAGCCACTTTGGAAGACAGTTTGGCAGTTTCTTAAAAACCTAAACATATGCTTACTATACGATCCAGCAATTTTGCTTTTTGGTATTTATCCAAAGGATTTCAAAACATGTCCATAGAAAAATCTGCCTACAGATGTTTATAACAGCTTTATTCATAATTGTCCAAACTTGGAAGCAACTGAGATGTCCTTCAGTAAGTGAATGGATAAGTAAACTGTGATACACTCAGACAATGAATATTATTCAGTGCTTAAAAGAAATGAGGTATCGGGCCGGCCGAGTGGCTCAGCTGGTTAAGAGCTCACTTGGGAGCACCAGCTCTGAGCAGCAGGGCTGCGGTTCAGATCCCACATTGAGGGCCAGTGACGCTTGCCCTCTACAGCTAAGATGAACAACAGCTCGACCTGGAGCTGGGCTGCTGTGAGTCGCCAGCGACGGCATAGGCTGCAGCAGGGCTGCAGTGGGCTACCATGAGCTACGTGAGTGGCTGGCAACCAGCGTGAGTGGCTGGTAGCTGGTGTGAGCTACCGGGAGCTGCTGTGAGCGGCCGACCAACGATCGGGCGACCGATTGCCTCAGCCGGGAAGAGCACAATGATCATACCAACATGGGCCAGTGAAGCGATGTCCACCACAACTAGACTGTAGAACAAAAAACAGCAATTTGTCTACCTGTCTGTTCCCCTTCCCCAATTCCCCAACGCTGTTACCTGCCCCCCAATTCCCCAATAAAATATTAAAAAAAAAGAAATGAGGTATCAATTC